TGTCTTGATCAGGGGATAATTACCCAGGCGTATACAGTAGTCAAAGTTGGGCAGAACACTTACAAAGTGAGCATTTACTGCATGCCACTTATGTCTCAATGAGTCACCAGCACACAGAGCCCAAGAGCTATGCAGGACCAGAGGTTTGTCTCCATCTCCATGGAGACCCGAGATGGGAAGCGCTGCAGGTCTCTTGCTGGCTGGTGGTCAGGGTCAGTACTGGACTGCAGGACTCCTGACTCTGACCAGAGCATTCCCCACTGTGTGTTACAGGAACAGGCAGTAGCTGAACGGCAGGTGTCAGAGGAGGACGCTGCTGGTTCCAGTGAATGACGCTGAGCCCACTAAGAGTAAGTGTTTTGTGCCTTGAGACGCAGCAGGAGGACAGGGAATAGGGACAGTGTCCTACCTGCTGTCCCTATAGCGAGAGGGCTCTTCTGGAGCATTCACTGCTGGAAGCAGGGGGTCCCATGTCAATCCTGTGCTGATTGTCCTTGGAGCATCGAGACCCTAAATCTCTTCTCTCTTCTCAGTCAACACCTTGCTGGATGCCTCGGCAACACTGGAGGAAGGACATGCAAAGGAAACAATTCAGGACCACATGGTGGACTCCGAGAAGCTCTTTTATGAAGAAGATGACGTAGGCTTTGCTACGTCGTCCCTGTGAAAGAATGTCTTCAGGAAACCAGAGCTTTTCTCGTTTACCTTTTCTTCTAGAAGGGGAGGCAGCCTGGAAGAGACAGTCCAGTACTTGACCCATGCCTCAACTAACTCTGCTATCCAATATGGTGCAGCTTACCAAAGGTCCTAGAACTTTGTCAACACACTTGAAGTAATTTTTATGAAATACTGCGTGTGATAACGAAACTGGGGAAATTTGTGTAAGACTCTTGGCGGCATAGAGTTATACAATTGTGTATTAAGGGTCCTTTTCGTCCAAGTGCTCATGCCTGTAATCCCACCACTTTGGGAGGCTGAGGCTGGTGGATCACTTGAGTTTAGGAGTTTGAGACCAGCCTGGTCAACACAGTGAAACTCCGTCTCAATTTAAAAAGAAAAAAAGTAGTTTTAGGATGTCATTCTTTCCAGTTCTTCATCATGCGACAAGTCCTTTTTTTAATTTCTTATATTGCAAGCTCCATCTCTACTGCTATGTGCATTTAATGACATCTAACTATAGATGCCGCACAGCCACAGTGGTTTATCTTACAGTTTTTTCACTTTAGAATGGGATTATCTATCTAGTTATTAGCTGTATTTTCAGTTTAGGATATTTTTGAGTTAATGATGAGAGTATCAAGACATAGCCCTATGCTAAGTCATGAGCGTATGGACTTATGAGGGTTCGACTTAGAGTTTTGAGCGTTAAGATGGGATTATTGGGGCTTACCCCCACCTTAATTAGAGAAACATTTGTATTGCTTATTACTGTATGATGTACATCTTTCTATTTTCCGATTTTTGTGTAATGATGTAAGCATGGATGAACTTTAGAAAATGCACTTTTTAGGTTATTTACATAGGTTGCCTGGATACAAATCAGCAGTGAAAAATCACTGGAAATATAACTAGTGACGGAGGGAGAAATCCTCCCCCCGTGGGAGGCACTGACTGTGTTCCAGTTCTCCCTCCTACGCCCTGAGACTGGACGAGGGTTTGATGACTGGCAACTTCTCAGGGGGCCAGCCTGTCTTACTTGATTTTAGAGGTATATAGCCGTATTTATTTATAAATAAATATTTATTTATATTTATTTATAAATCGATGTTTACATGTGCCCAGGATTTTGAAGAGCATGGTATCTTTGGGAAGCCATGTGTCTGGTTTGTCCTGCTGGGACCGTCAAGGAACTGCATCTTCCTACGTGTCCACCGCAGATGAGGACAGTGAGAATTAAGTTAGATCTGAGACTGTGAAGAGCTTCTCTTTAAAGCACCATTACCGTTGAACATTAGTGAATCTTGGGCCTCGTTTGGACTCAGGGCAGAGCAGGTGTTTATCTGCCCCGGGATCTGCCATGGCATCAGGAGGGAGGAGTGGATGGTGCTTGGGAATGGTGTGAAATGTTTGCTGACTCAGGAGTGGATGGGCCCCTCTCCCTGGTGGTCTGTGACCCTGAGTCCCTGGGCTGCATTTAGGGTAGAATTCCTGAGCTGCATTTCAGGGTACAGATTCCCTATTTGAGTCGCTTGGCTTCTCTGTAAGCATCTGACTCATCTCAGAAATATCAATTCTTAAACACTACGACAACGAAACCTAAAATGGGTGACACATTTGTCCTTGTGTCACGTTCCATTATTTTATTTAAGAACCTCAGTAATCATTGTAGCCTCTTTCCAGCAAACCCTTCTCCACAGCAGTCCAGTCGTGGTAGGATAAATTACAGATGTAGTCATTCTAGCAGGTTCAGTCTTTTCCATCTCAAGGCATTGTGTGTTTTGTTCCGGGACTGGTTTGGTGGGGACAAAGTTAGAATTGCCTGAAGATCGCACATTCAGAGTGTTGTGTCTGTGGAGTATTAGGAGGGGGTGGCCTTTCTGGTCTATGCACTTCCATCCTCTCCCACTTCCATCTGGCGTCCCACACGTTGTCCCCTGCACTTCTGGAAGGCACAGGGTGCTGCTGCCTCCTGGTCTTTGCCTTTGCTGGGCCTTCGGTGCAGGACACTCGGCCTCAAAGCTCAGAGGGAGCCAGTCCGGACCCAGCTCCCTTGTCCCTTCCTCAGAGGCCTTCCTTGAAGATGCATCTGGCCTATCAGCCTTATCAGTGTTTAAGCTTATTCCTTTAAAGTAAGCTTCCTGAGAACATGAAATTGTTGGGGTTTTTTGGTGTTGGTTGGTTTGTTTAGGTTTTGCTTTATACCCAGGCCAAATAACATATAACACCTGGTTATGTATGAAATGCTTATATGTTTATGATCAAAATAAATGTGAAACCTCATAGAAAAAGAGGTGTGGTGTTCATTTATTTCCATCCTCCCCTCCTCCTGTGACAGCTCTGAGTGACAGGAGGCCAGGGCTTCCTTCCTGCTGGGACTCCTTACTTGTCCCCTCTCTGCCTTTGGTGTGTCGGGGGAGGTTCCTGCCTATGACTGCCTGGATTTTAAAGGGCCAGGCTCTTGGGCACTGGAATTGACATGCACCTCCTCCCTGTTTCTCTCCTGTCTGCTCCTCCCCCTGGGGAGAGGGACACCAGCCCTTACCTGTATCCCCATCAGTGGACCCAGGTTGCTCAGCCCTGCAGGCACCTGGGAGACCCATTTCCCACTCCCCTTGCCCTGGAGGACTCTCTCTCTCTCTCTCTCTCTCTCTCTCTCTCTCTCTGTCTCTCTCTCTCTCTGTCTCTCTCTCGCCCACAGCTCCCAGGAGGCCCAGGTGTGCCCCTATGCTGTCTTCCTTCCCCTGAGGGTAAGTGGGACTCCTCCAGGCTACCCTGCTTCCCTCCTGCACTGCCCAGGCCCTCTCAGCTAGAACATCTTTCTCAGGCGAGGTGACGCCTGAGCTCTGAGCCCACAGCTCCACTGCCTCCTGGCTCTGCCCTTCCTCCATGGGACTGCATCTTTTACATCTAAAAAGGATGTGGGTGGTGAAATTTCGGTCAGGTTAGAAAACAGAAAGGGGCAATTGTGGCCCAGCTTTTGCCCATTGGTGGCTGGGAGCTACCGTTTCCATCCTCCACATTCTTCCAGCCCCGTCCTCCTCCTCTCTGGACCAACCCTGCTTTTCCTTCTCCTCCATTCTCTCTCTTCTTCCCTTTATCCCACCCAGCAGTAAATAAATGTCACAGGGGAGAGACCAGTATCTGGCCCAGTGGTGCAGAGGTAAAGATTTTACCAAGACAGTTGTAGGTAAAGAAAAGCAGATTTATGACCA